TGCCCACCTCCCATCCACTCCTCCCAGCGGGTAAAGGTTCCCATGGGGAGTCGACAAAATCCTGTCACGTGAAGTTGGAGCAGGACCAAGCCCCTCCCCCGCCCCCCTGCATTAAGGCTGAGCAAGGCATCCCACCATAGGGAATGGGTACCAACAAGCTAGCTCATGCACCAGGGATAGAGCCTGGTCCTACTGCCAGGGTTCCCTCAGGTAGCCCAAGCTTCACCACTGTCCCCCACATATGAAGGGCTTAGTTCAGGCTCCACAGCTGTCAGTCTAGAGATTCTGAGTTTCTAATGAGCTTTGTTCAGCTGTCTCTGTAGATTCCTCCATCATGATCCTGACCTCCCTTGCTCATATATTCCCTCCTCCCTGTCTTTGACTGGATTCCCAGAGCTCAGCCTGGTGCTTGGTTGTGGATCTCTGCATCAGGTGCCATCAGTTACTGGATGAAGGGTCTATGAGGACACTTGGAGTAATCACCAATCTGATTACAGGGGAAGGCCAGTTCAGGTGCCCTCTCCATTACTGCTAGGAGTCTTAGCTGGGATCATCCTTGTGGATTCTTGGGAAATCCCCTAGCACCAGGTTTCTCCCTAATCCCATAGTGGCTCTCTCTTTATCAAGATCTCTCCTTCATTGCTCTCCCACTCCGTCCCTCCCCATCTCGATCATCCTGTTCCCTCATGTTCCCATCCCCCTTCCCCTCCCCTTTACTGCTGCCCTTTCCCCCAGTTTACCCAGGGGCTCTCATCTAATTCCCCTTCCCAGAGCAATCCATGTGTCCCTTTTAGGGGCCTCCTTGTTACCTAGCTTCTCTGGAGCCGTGGATTGTAGCCTGGTTATCCTTTGCTTTATGTCTAATATCCACTTATGAGCAAGTAGATACCATGTTTGCCTTTCTGAGTCTGGGTTACATTCATTTGCCTGCAAGTTTCATGATGTCATTTTCTTTTACAGTAATGAAAAACACTCCATTGTGTAAATGTACCACATTTTTATCTATTTCTTCAGCTAAGAGGTATCTAGGTTGTTTCCAGGTTCTGACTGTGAAGGAATGTAAGAACCTCCAAATAAATTCAATAGGTATTTGCCACACATTCTGAAGACTTTTATTGTTAATCTATAAATTTCAAAGTACAGTCTACAGTGCAGTGATTTCTACTATAAGACTTGAGTGAACGTGGTATATTACTGACTTCCTTCAAGCCTTTAATGAAAAAGAGAAAGGAAGAAGTATGCCTGCATTTAGAGACAATTGTGATATTTAATGTCTTTAACAAGTTCTTTTTTCTGAATTGGGCACTTCTTTCTTTTGCGTGACTTTTTTTCCTATTTCATGACATTAAGATGACATACAAAGGCATTAAAGGACTGTTTATAGGGCTAGGGAGATTGCTCTTTGGTTAAGAAAAGTTCCTTCCCAGGATCCAGGACAAGTAACTGACAACATCCTCTGTCTCCTGGTAGAAGATAATCTTGTGCCTCTGGACATCTTGGGCACTGTCCCGCGCTACCGTCTCGCCTGCAAGAACCACGTGGGACACTAGGATCCTTCTGCAGAAAAGCTTTTAATGCTTCTTGAGAGAAAGAGCATAAGCTAACATGGCGGAGACCCAGAAATGAGGGAACCCATCCCTTATATAGGAAACAGTCCTCGCTTCGGGCGTGTCACTCTTGGATTGGTCCGCTGCCCATTATCCCAGATGATGCCTGGGGAGTAGGCAGGGACAGCAGTGGAAAGTTACCAAGCACATGTGCGTTCACCTGGCGGTGAAACCAGATGCCAGCACCATCTTGTAATGGAGTATGTGGTTGCGGTCCTCCACATCTCCCCCTTTTTTACTTCTTTGCAGAAAGGCAACTCCCTCAGAAGGCAAAGATAGAGGTCGCACTTCCCAAAGTGGAAACATTATAATGGGCTTGCACGGAATCTGCCCCTAGGTTCATGACACCTGGAACTTACCCGGCCTGCCCTCTGCCATTTTTCTGGGAAAGGGAATATGTGGCAGGAAACCCTTATGCAGGGCGACATATCTCTCAGAGAGGGCCATTCTCTGTGCGATGCTCTTCAGCTCGACAACCTTCAGGGCTAGCTAAGCCAAGCACTCCACCCTGTGCAATGGACCATTGTCCTAGGGGTGCAGGAGCTGGTTGACATAAACCTTACTGCTTCAACATAGATAACCACATATCAGTAGAGGCTCCCTGTTCCAGGGCAGCCAGCGCTTGTGCAATAACTACTTTGTCCCTACGACTTTGGGATTTGAGTCAGCAGACCATCCAGAGGAGAAACACTATTCCACAGCATAGGGCTGCTCCAAACATTCCCACCCCCACCCATTCTTCGAAGTAGGAGATGAAGGACACAACCCAGGACTGGAATCCTTCGGCTAAGCTTACAAATCATCTCTAGGAAGGTAGGAGAGCCCCAGAGTCTTATTGGTTGTAAAAAAACGAGGAAACACCGCCACTCTATGGCTTACTGGTGTCGGCTTCGGGAAGGCTGAGAGTATCCTCCATCGCTGCTCCATCATAACCGTTGTCATCCATCCGCAAAATGGCAGGAGGAACAGAAGCCAAATCTTCAGGCGAGTCCGCATGTTGTGGGTCACTTTTCACCGTTCAGGTCAGTCTCTCTGGCACCAAGAATGGGTTTTCCTGATCCTGTGGGAACAAACAGCTCCCCTGGATCTCAATAGAATGGGATCCGGGCCTTTCCATTCATTAGAAAACACATCTTTCCATTTAACCAAATCCTTGGGCCGCTGCAGATCCGAACAATGTCGTGTTGCAGCATTTTGGCCATTATCATCCAAATTTAAAAATTTATAGTGAACAGAGCCATGGCAATGGCCACTCTTGGCGTCGGGGGCAACTCCTTCATTATTCCCCCCTTTTTTGTTTTTAACAAGAACTGGTATCGGTTTGGGCCATGCCCTTGTCACTGTCCAGAGGGTCATCCTTGCTACTTCCTCATCAAGTTCTCCAGTCCAATTACCTAGAAGATAACTAGACAATTGCTTAATAATCAGTCACTGCATCTGGGATCGCAGGGGTGCAATACTCCAGCTGCATCAAGAAGTCTATCAGAGGCGTGTTGGAAACTATGGGCCTTTTTCCCCCTAGGCCGCACTCGGTAAGCGTAAACCCCGTTAAACATTACCCCTTTAGGGAAGCCGCGCCGGGTCCGCACTGCTCCGCCAGTTTCCGGCTTGCACCGCTATGGAGCCCGTTCCCGTAGTGGCGGCTCCACCCCGGGTTTTACTGTTTTCCCAGTGGGGCTGGCCTTGGTGGGGAGTGTGGCGGGAGCCGACACCCGGACCAGTAACCGAGGCGGCACAGGCCAGCAACACCTCAAGGTCCGCACCGGAGCCGCTACAGCTCACGGGGCTGATGGGAAAGGCGGCAAACAGGGCCACTTCCTAATTAGCAAACTCTCAACATCTGTGCCACAGTCACAGATTTAGCCAATGACCCAATCACCTTAAAAATCCAAGGGCTTTTCGCATCTACCTCCCTGCGAATCCTGAAACATTAGATAAATGTAATACGGTACTGCCTGTTTACTGCAGCTAAACCTTGTTGCGCTTTTATTATGATAATTACGACCTGTCCTGCCTAAAGTCAGCACAGTTCAGCTTAGCCAAGTGGAACCAGAGCCAATCCAGCCTCAGAGCCCCTCACAGTTTCAGGTACACTGCAAGTCTTCTGGTTTGGCAGCTTGTGGCACTGCTCTTATTCTCGGCACTGCTGTGGCATCCGCCAGGCTAGGCACCGACTAAGCTGGCGCAATGTGCCTTTTACCACAGCCACCTAGCAAAGCTCTGCTCCAGCTGCCTTCTAGCGCAGCTGCATTCACTCTGAGTCCAAACTGGTGCACGGAGTGGAGCAGAACTCAGAGAAGCAGGCTTGCTGCTCTGCAACCATTGAAAGGACCTCATTTAAACAATCTTTCAGGGAATTTGGGCGTTGTTAGTCTCTCTGGCTACTTCCTGCTGAATTGGTACGTTGTATTTTAGGGGTATACACTACAACATTTCAGGAGGTCTCAGTGATTCAAACCACATAAATCTCAAGTACACCCTGAGGCTCTCATTTTCTGTGGAGACGAAAACAGAACCTCTTTTCCAAAATATCATATCCTTAGGCCCATATTTTAAATTCAAAATACCTTTTTTAGCAGTTCCTAAATTCAAATATCTTTCTCCTGTCCAGGACACAAAAGACAACACAAACAACATAACATACATCTGTCCTTTTTTCTTATTGTTAGTATCAGAAAGCTTTTGACGTTGTAGGTCAGTCTTCTCCCCCATTCTTATTTTCTTAGAACCACCGGCGGGTCCTTTTTCTTTATCTGGGACTGTCCTTTTCTTACGCGCGCCCAACCTCTCACTGCACTCAGTTTCTGATATGCTATCCTGGACTTCCTCTGCTTTTGCAACAACCGCCTGGCAGGATTCATCTTTTAAGCAATTTCTGGCCAAAAATAAGAGAACTACTAAAAGAAGTACCAAGGCCTCTACGAAACCTTCCCAATGCGGGAACAAGTCAAGCCCAAAACCGAAAAATCCAGGAATAGTCATACCTCTCTGAGCATGCAGACCTGCAGTTCTGAATCCTCCTTGTGTCCAAGGGGTCTCCGGCAGTGCGAGTAGTGGTCAGGGTCTCCCGGCGTCTCGGGTCTTCAGCACCAGATGTCCCGCGCTACCGTCTCGCCTGCAAGAACCACGTGGGACACTAGGATCCTTCTGCAGAAAAGCTTTTAATGCTTCTTGAGAGAAAGAGCATAAGCTAACATGGCGGAGACCCAGAAATGAGGGAACCCATCCCTTATATAGGAAACAGTCCTCGCTTCGGGCGTGTCACTCTTGGATTGGTCCGCTGCCCATTATCCCAGATGATGCGTGGGGAGTAAGCAGGGACAGCAGTGGAAAGTTACCAAGCACATGTGTGTTCACCTGGCAGTGAAACCAGATGCCAGCGCCATCTTGTAATGGAGTATGTGGTTGCGGTCCTCCACAGGGCACCAACAAAAAACATGCATATACCCACATGTAGATATATTGGCATAACATAGTTAAAAAATAAAACAAATCTTTAAAGAAACATGACTCATGCTCATAACTGTTACAGAAATATATTTCTAAGGGAACAATTCACTCCTATAACCCAGATGATATAGTATCTAAAGGCTTACCTACAGAATTTTGCTTCATCATGAATCAGTAGATGTAGCAGAAGGCAGCCATGTTGGTAAAAGGCTTTTTATACATTGTTTTCATTCATAAGGTTTCTCTCCAATATTTCACTCCTGTCTCTGATGGCGACAGTGACATGTGAAGGCTTTGCCATGTTAATTAATGTGGTGGTTTGGATGAGAAACGTCCTCCATGCTTCCAGGCATTTGCACACTGGTGTCCAGTGGTGGTGGTGTTTGGGAAGGTTTAGGAAATGCCACGCTGATAGAGGAAATCATCACTGGGACGGGTGTTTGAGGGTTTAAAGCTTCACTCCACATCTAGTTCCCACGCTGTGATTCAAGCTTTCAGGTTGGTGATGTAAGCTCTCAGGTTCAATGTCATGAGGAACTCTTTTCCCTCAGAAACCATAAGCCAACATTGCTTTAGACATTTTGTTTTCTCACAGCAACGGAGAAGGACCTTCGTAGAATTTCTCTGCAGTATGACTTGATTCATGAATCTGATGATTATAGCGATCTCCATGGTGACTTACAAAGGCTTAACCACATTGCTTACATTCAGTGTTTCTCTGCGGAATTACATCTTTGGTACCTTCCATGTCCTCGAGAATGTTGATGATATTCTTTGATATTCTGGTCTTCCCATTTGCAGCCAATAGCAGTGAGGCTCCTGTAGGTTTCTATCATCACATCTTTGTAGAGACTCTTCTGGGAAGAATCATGCAAAGCCCACTCTTCCTTAGTGAAGTTCACATGCATATCCTCATAGGTCACTGCATCCATGCCGCAGCTTCCAAGCTCCTCCAGGACCTCACACAGCTCCCTGCAGCAGTGCTCACAGCACCAAACACCAACCTGCTCCTGCTTGCTCAGCTATGGAGCCTACAGCATCCCCATTTAGTTTTCAAGAGTGTTTAAAAAAAAAAACTTTTCATGAAAGCCCTATAGAAATTACACTTTCCCCTCTTCTTATAAAAGTAATTAAAATTAAAACAGATTTGTGTAATGGTGGTTTACATGAAAAAACAGCTCTTAAATTCTTAGTCATGTTATTTAGAGATAAAACTTTTTATCTTGGATTTATTTTTCCTAAATCTTCGTCTTTTCATCTTTTTGTCAAATTCAGTAGCTCTTCTCTCTTCTAATCTCACCAGTGGGGTTACTTCCTGTGTCTAGTGAGGTTACTTCCTGTGTCTAGTAAGGTTACTTCCTGTGTCTAGCGGGGTAGCCTTTTTATTTGTTCTTCCTAATCTGTCATAGCTGGGTGCCCAGAGAAACAGACTGGTAGAGAAATTCTGTCTAAAAAGCTGCCAAAGGGGTTTCAGGTAACTTCAAAAAAGATAATCAATTGTTTTACAGGTTTTGCAAATTCTCTGCATGTGGTGTTTGTCCAAAGCCTACTGCTCTTATTTAGCACAACCTACATAGCAAGACTCTGTCTCAAAAATCTAAGGACTGGTTGCCATGGTAGCACATGCCTTTAATCTCCACACTTTCAAGGCACGAGGAGACAGATCCCTTTGAACTACAGGCCACCTAGGGATACATAATGAGACCCTGTCTTAAAACAAAAATCCCAGGGCTGGGTATAGTTCACAAGCAGAATACTCACCTAGCATGTGCAAAGATCTGAACTTAATCGTAGAATACCAAAAGAAAAAAAAGAGTACTAAACTTGTACATTTCAAATGTGCAGACTTATTGACCATGAATTACAATTTAATGCAGAAAAACACTAAAACCTTTTTTGGCTATAGGAAAAAGAATACTTCACCTATGGTGAGATTCCTCCTATGTTAAGTGAAAAATAGAAACAAACATTTGTAACTCCAATCACAAATGTCTGATTTTAGTCCTATCAAGCAATTAAAACCAACAGCAAAAAAACATGTGTAGAAGCTCATTCAACTCAAATCATTGAGAACCCTTTCACCTGCCAGGCTACCCTGGACCAAAAAAGCTGAGAAACATATTTTTAAAAATGATACTTCTACTCTTTATATAGTGTGAGACTATAAACAGCTGACCAGCTCTGAGGGATGGCAGCCAAAATTCTAAGTGCAAAGTAGCCTCACAACCTCAAGTTCATCCTACAGAAAAATCAACAAATACACAAATATTTTGCCTGCATAGATGTTTGAGCACCACAAGCAGTGCCTACAGAGGCCAGAAGAGGGCAGAAGACCCCCCCCCCGAACGAGAGTTATGTCAGTCACAAAGTAGGTGCTCTGAACTGAACCTGGGTCCCGTGGAAGAGCAGCAAGTACTCTTAACTGCTCATCCATCTCTCCAGCCCCCAGCAGTCAATTTGTTCCATGGGACATCTGGCAATATTTAGCGTTGTGTTTGTTGGTGAGAGACTGCAGGCAGTGAGCAGGCAATTCCAGGGCCACTACAGGACACAAAAGGCTGCTGCAACAACACAATCGTCTAGCCCACAAATGGCATGGAGATGGAGAAATTCTATTTCTATTCTGGGTAAGCATTCCACCAATCTTCTACCATAATCAGTGCTGAGAATCCCTACTTCAGAGACACATGTAAGAAGAGCAATTAGAAACAAGGTAAGTACTACCTGTACATGCTCATTACACTAAAAACAATTTTCAAGAACATACTGCTGGGTGTGATGGTGCAAGCCTTTAATCTCAACCCTCAGGAGGCAATCAGATGGATCTCTTGTGAGTGGTGATCTAGCTAGTGAATTCCATATTAGCCAAGGCTATACAGTGAGACTTTGTCTCAAAATGAAACAAACAAAAACATAGGCTTTACTGCATATTTCATCCTCAGAGAGCACAAGTATAACTGTTCCTGTGGAGACTGGAAAGTCCTGTGCTGTGGCTACCATATGCCTAAGCACTGCATACAGCAGTCATACTTGGCTCTTGCAGAGAGCACATAGACTGGGACTGCTATGACATGAAAGAAGCTACTCAGTGAGGAGCAACCAATTCACCCCCCACCCCTGACAGCAGGTACAGACTCCCACCTGCCCTCCAAACACCTGGGCTGACATTAGTGACAGATGTTGTCTTATTGTGCGAACTTATGAAGTCACCTAATAAGCACAAAATTCAGCAGTGGACAGTGGGAGTCACTCCTCTCCAGAGGAGCTTTTCCATATTACAAGTACCAAGAGATCAGTAAGTTTGATATACATGCAATTTTCAGGAGGACACTACACAGTGAAATCATATAGATTCTGCTTGTATATACTCTTCAAAAAGTGACTTCGGCATCTAAAATAATCAAAATATTCATACTTGTTTTGTGTTTGAAAAAGGGTCTTATATAGCCCAGGCTAGCCTTAAACTATGTAGTCTAGAATAACTCTGAATTCCTGACCCTAGTGCCTGTACCTGCTAAGTACTGAGACTCCTAGTATGTGCTACCACAAATAGTTTAGTTCATTATCATAGCAAGACTTGATGCTGCCTACATCTTAATCTACAGGCAACGGGATGTGAACTGACTAGGTGCAGCTTGAGCATAGGAGACCTGAAAGCCTACCCTCACAGTGGCACACTTCCTCCAACTAGGCAACACCTACTTCAACAAGCCCACCTTCTAAATTAAAGTGCCATTCACTGTGATCTTATGGGAGCCTATTACAATTCAAAATGCCACAGCTAGGGATTGAATACATGGCCTTGTTTGTATTAGGCAGGCACTCTATCAATCAAGCTACATCCCCGCCTCATAAAACATTATCTTGAGGTAAACAAGAAATATACAGGTAAAGATGCTGCCAGTTAAAAAATAAATAGGTCTAGAGACCAAGGCAGATACACATGGCAGTGCCCACAAAGAAAGGTTGTGAGAAGGTGATCTCACCTGAGAACAGGAACTCTGAGAAAAAGCAACATCTTAAGAGCAATTTGAAGAAAAGGTGTTCACCTTAATTCAAAGAAAATAGACAAGAACAGAAAGATCACTCACAGACTCTAACAGCTTCAAAGTAGTAGGTACCAAGGTTTTAAAAACAAGTAGCACACAGAATATGCCAGGGAAGGAGGAGGCTGGGAAGAGGGCTCAGCAGAGAAAGGCATTTTTGCCACCAAGCTGATTGATCCAAAGTATCTTCATGACCATGGTGGAAAAGACAGAGAATAGACTCATTTGAGTTGTACTCTGACTTCCACATGGCACCATGGCATGGAAGCACCAATATATGCACAGATGATAAATAAATAAAAATAAAAAAATATTAAAGGCTTCCTGAGGGTAGAGGGGAAAACTGGAAAAGAAAGTTTGAAAGCATGGGGAAAAAATTAAGATCAAAGGTTTGTGCCACATAGCTGTAATCTAGCACTTGGAAAATGGAGGTAGGAGGCTCAAAAGCTGAAGTATACCTTAGATTACATAATGAGTTCAAAAACACTTTAAGTTGAGAAAAAAATTGGTTCCTAGGAATATGAAACCATGTTCAATAGACATGTTCAAACTCAGATGACATAAACAAAAGATTACTACCAAATTACAGGGGGTAAAGGACCAACAAAGATGGTCCAGCAATAATAATGAGATAGTGACGGAGGCAGAGACCTAACAAGGGTGGTCTAGCAGTAACTGTTCAATTTGGATAACTGTGTTTCTTGTATTTTTAATTCTGCATACTATGAGCCTTTAGCCTATTTTTTTTTAATTTTAGAAATAGGCAAAGGGGAAACAATAAGATAGTTTATTTCTTTAAAACACCCAATATTTTCAACATAGCTAAAAAGAGAACTTCACCAACTTGTTTGCCAACCTCTTGTTGACATCGGTTTCACTTTCATTTTTCTTGCAGATTCTTGCAGAACTTGCCTTTAATCTGAGATATACTTTCTTCTCTATCAGGTTTTCTTTTTTTAGATATTTTCTTTCAAAAGTGTAAAGTCATGCTTAATACTCAAATATTTAAAGTGGGTATGGAATATGCCTGTAATTCCAGTGTCCAGGAATGTGGAGTCAAGAGCATTGAGCCAGGCCAGCCAGGCATACATAGCAAAGTCCCAAACTCTAGGCAAGCTTTATTTATTAAAATACAAACAAAATATCACATTTCCCCCCTTTTGTCTAAAATAAAAAAGGCTATAAGAAAACTATATACAATAAGTACAATGACTATACACAATATATACAGGCAATAAATACATCAACAATGTCTAGTTCATTTGCATTTAACAAATTCAAAGAAAATACTCCATTTTTCTTTTCGGTCTCTCCCCTGAAGAGGCAGTTTCTGCCTCGCTCCATTCTCTCCACTTCTCCCCTTCTCTACTCTCTCTGTCTCTCTGCTCTTCTCCCTTCTACCCTTCCCTTCTCTCCTTCCCTTCCATAACCCACTAAATATCCAACCTCAAAAAAGAGAAAACACTCCACATTTCTATACTATCTTGTTGAGTTCATTGTTTTGCACCTAATTTACTTTCTATCATGACTTGGTTTCTGCATCAACAAGGAAAACTATAACTAGCCTTCAACTCCCTCAGAGACCCAAGATGAAAATAATAAATAATATTAACTGAGTAAGCAGGAAGTGTGAGCAAGTGACTTACAAAAAAAAAACTGACAAATGACAGAAACAGCTGGCTTCCTGGACAGTCACCCAAAGTTCCTCTACAACATTGGGGCATCTATTTTTGGCCTAGCTTAACCCCAGACTTTTCTGTGAAGCAGGATATTCAAAAGGGCTGTCCCTTCTTTTGAATGTTTGGGATTCAATGTTTGGGAGTCACTTTCGTGTCCTGCTTGAAATACTTATTTCAGACCCTAAGCACTATTGTGGTATCTTTCTAAACTGGCACCTCTTTGCCCTCAGTAGTTATACAGAAAAGGCACAGGATTCTTAAAATTAGCTATGAAGCCAGGTTTAATGAGCCTGGTCACACAAGCCTATGATCCTAGCTATCCAGAGGAAGGCTGAGGCAGGACAGCTTCTGATATGTGCTAAAGGCCAGCCTGAGCAACTTAGTAAGGTAAGACCCTGTCTGAAAATGAAAAGTAAAGCCAGGTATAGTGGTGCAAGCCTTTAATCTCAGCACTTAAGAGGCTGGAGGAGGATCAGGTGTTTAGTTATCCTCAGCTACATAATGAATTTGAAGCCTACATGGACCACAAAAGGCTGTCATTCAATCAGTAGAGATGAGAGTGTGGCTAACCGTGAAGGGTTTACCCAGCTCAACGGAAGGAGGGCGGAAGGAGGGCGACACAGAACAGCTAGTGCTGTCAGATGAGTTACCTGCTAAACCTGGTCTTAAAAGGATACTAGGGTTGCAGTCCAGCAATTCACCTGAGGTAGTCACAAAGACAGGTGAAGCCTGTGGCACCTTAAGGTTGATGAGGGTAGCCAGCTGGCCCATTCTGCCTCTAGGAGGGTGCCGACTGCTCCAGAGGCTGTTGGGCAAGCTGCAGTCCACCCAAGCATTCCCCAGGACTCCCTCTGCAAACACAGGCACATGCTCAGATACACATGGCACTCCACTCAGACCCTGCATCACTCACCCCTACTTAAGGCCCTTTTTTCTCGTGTTTCATCCCTGCCAAAGCAATGTTTAGACTTGAACTTCCAGAACAGTCTCAGTGCTGAGTCCTCACTCCTCGACTCCTGTTCGTCTCAAGGTGCCTCTAGCCCCAGTTCTAGACAACTTAGAATAGGGCATTGCCTTTCCACTCAGAACCCCTTCTTCAAGCAGTCTGTGGCTGCTCAGGTAAGGAGCTGGGGAATTGATCGTTTAGGACTCCAGTATACCCTTTTGGCCTGAGCTTGTCAGGGAAACCTGGGCGTGGGAGTGCAGGAAGTCTGGTGGAGCCAAAAGCACTTGGCCATCTCCTTGTGGGTAAGTTGTAGGTGAACTCAAACTGACATATGTACATACCCACTACTAAACTGTGCACCAATGTGTACACTCCTTCTAGCCTGTTCTGGCCGATTCTCTCTTTCAAGTCCATGGTTTAGATAGGATGAAGCTTCAGAGTATTAGATACAGGGTCAGTTGGGTCTAACAGAAAGGCTGAACAGGTCCAAGTTTACTGTCCTAACTCTTGCAGGGGAGAAGGGAGGGTCTTCAAGCAAGGGCCATTCCTGGTCAAGAACCCAGCTCTGTTGCCGGCCAGCAGTATTTCATGTAGCTGGGGAAAGGAACACTGGAAGGACAAGGGCCATGCAGTGCTCAGATGAGACTCCCCTTTAAAGATCCTTGTTTTTTCACCTGTGTAAGATGAGTAAGGTGAGATATGAAGTTTTGAACACTCCTGGACTCAGACTGTAACAGCAGCCCTTTGGGCCACCACCCCTTTCCTCTCAAGGACACCACATATGATATCCAGCCACCTCAATGGTTGGTTGCAGTGGCCGGTAGAGTGCAGATTTGTGAGATGGCTTTCAAGGCCCTCTTCAGACTACTATGAACCTGTCTCTTCCATTTTCTTTCTTCTCTTTATATGCAATGATGAACATCTGGGAGCAAGGAAGTGGCTCCTGAAGCTGCATATTAGGACCAGGTGTGGTATATATGCCTACTATGCCAACATTTAGGAGGCAAAGGCAGGCGAATCCGAGTTGAGGTTAGGCTATATCCACAGAGAGACCCTGTCTCAAAATGGGAAAAAGTTATATGAAATCACTGCATTATTTTTTTTCATATAATATACAATACTACTCCAGGTAAACTATGGTACCTTGGGAGTGGGGATTGGCACAATGACTACTTTTAACAATGCCTATTGGATTCCAGCAATAGGTGCAGGGCCACTCGAAGCACAAAGGTTTCACCAAGTTAAAAGACAAGACATTTTGCAGGTAGTAATTCTGAGTAAAATAAACCTTTTTTAGGATATGTGGAAGCACAGATCTATAATCCCAGTACTTTGAGTCTTAGGCAGAACTGAGAATTTGTCAGTTTTGAAGCCAGCTTGGGCAACATAGCAATTCTAGTCTCAAGAAAAAGGATTTATGTTTATTGAGATAGGGTCCCAATCTATAGCTCAAGATCCAACAGCTTCAGCCTCTTGAGTGTTGGGATTACAAACGCGGGTAACTATGCCCTGTGGAAACATTTTATGTGTGTAAGTGCACAAGATAACTTGCAAAGGGCAGTCTTAACTTCTGCTATATGGCTCCAGGGATTCATAAACTCACTGGTCATCAGCACTTACCTGATGAGTACCTTGCTGGCCCCAAAATACAGTTATAAAGTTGTACTTACTGTTCCTTCTTTAGACATGCCCCCAAATAAAAACAAAAATATATGTATTCAGATTCTAGCAAAATAGTATATATAGAGAGAATAACCGCCTAAAATTATCACTCTCTCATTAGCTGTTTCCTTTTTTTGATTTAGGGTTTGGTTTGGTACAGTATTGGGGACCGAAACCAAGGCCTTGCACATACTAAGCACACTTGGTACCTCCAGTCCTGTTAAGGGACTTAAGTTTTAAAGCAGAACAATAATCCCCTTTGGATATCAATGTGAGTCCTTGTGATGACACAGGCTGCATGTACATATTCTCAGCAGTCATCATATGCAAAGTAAACAAAAATTACTTAATCTTCTACAAACAAAATCAAGGATTCACAAACTATGGCATTTTATTTCAGAGTCTTTGCTTACATTTGTACAATATATTACATAATTCATCATGTTTGCAGAACCTAATATATACTTTATAGTTTTATTCTATAAGTTTTTTTCTTCAACATTTTGCTGTCAACAAATCTTTACACTCTGTACAAATTTGAATAACTTGAAACCATTTTTCAACAAAATTGGTTACTGTAAGCACACATTACAAGACTGAAAATGCTTTTCTTAGAAAGGTTGAATGTAAAGGATTAAGGAT